AATTGTTAATTCCAGGCAACAAAGTTAAAATACACACGAACGTCCTAATATGTACTTCTAATATTATTGTTAACATTTGTATTTCTTTTTTGGAATATGTACTATGTGCAGTTATTGTTTACATGCACACTTATATACAAGCAGAAGATATAAAAATATAATGGATATTTGTTACCCGCAAAAATGCACATTCAATTTACAGTATACATATAAATGCTAAACAAGCGGATTAAATACCAGCTTACATACACATATTTGCATACCCGTAGTATTATTTGTTTAAATGAATTTCTTGTTTGTCAAAATCTAAATGTATTGTTTTCGCTGCTAAAAGCTTACGTTTCGTTTGTTGAATGTAATGTAAATAATTTACCTTATTGAAAATGTATTGTGAAAAGTGCATTCTAAAATAAAAACTTGCAGCCTCTAGCTATATTTTACAGTATACATAAGGCAGCTATCTTGCAGCTATATTTAATTTCTACCGGTGAATATGATGTAGCGCTTGGAGACTATAGTGGTAATTTAGTAGCCAATTCATTTAATATGCGGCACAGGTGACATAAAAGGCGTTATGTGCTGTAACAACATAAAAATTATCCAAAGAGTTTTAAGGGGATGAGCTGGAGTTATAGCCGTTGGCCCGATTGTCGAGGAAACGATGCGTAATGTGCCTAAACTGCGGTTTCGCTCGAATTTAGACTTCTTTCATTGTTAGCTTTGATGCTCTTGTACAATTGCAAAATAATTCTTTTTAATATTTCAATAGCATACCTTCCATTTCATAACAGCTTAAAGTTAACTGCTAACTAAAAAAAATGTACCTTCATGAGTTTAACAGTAAAAGAAGAAAAAAGCAACTAGCACAACCTTTACAATTTATTACGCGAAAGTGCTAAAATATTAAAAACATTTAAACTCGCCACATTGTGGGTCGTCAATAAATTTCCGGATCCTACCAACAAACGCTTCTTCTGTTCAAGTAAGCCGCTCAGTAGGTGAAGTGAGTGCTTGTGGCATTTCACTTTGCTAAACATGACACGTCGCCACCAATGCATGTTTATGCTTTACACACATGCATACATATGTACACACAAACCTATGTATTTATTTCCACCTCCCCTGCCCGTTCAACCTACATGTTCGCAAAAAAAATGACCACAATAAAAATAAAATGCTCACGTCAACAAAGAAAATTTAATTTCCACATCAAAATCTACAGGAGTGACGAAGGGTACACTATGTGGTCAGTTGGGCGCTTGAGTTTGATAGCGTAATAAACCAGCCATGGATGGTTCCACCACTTCTGGTGACGGTCGTGTGTGTTAAATTGGAAAGAGCGGTTGAAAGGCCAGTGCCAGCACAAAAATGCGGAAAATTGCTATAACTGCCGGACTTATTTGTAGGCATGGCGCTTAATGGGATAACAAGTGGATAACAGTATAAAAGTCGGAGCTCTATTCAAGTTAGTTTCCGTTGTAGCTAATGTTTCCATGCAGCAAGCAAGTTTACGCTGGATTCCAAAATGTGTGGGCGGCTATTAAATGGAGTTTACTAAAGCACTCTGAGGCGCTTTCGAATAATTTTTTTTTTTTGTTTTTGCTGTTTCTATGTATGTATTTTGGGGCGGTTAATTTTTTACTATGCGCCTATAGCATAGGAGGGTTGTACGTGGAATTCTAAGCATATTTGCCGAAGAAACCATGGGTCTAAAAACAATTTAGAACAAAATGCTACGAAACCTATTTTCACAATTTGGTTAGCTTTAAATTTATGTCAGACCCAAAATTTCTCGGAGAAAATTTGCTTAGAATTCCACGTAGAATCCTTCTGTGCTATAAGCGCATAGTCGAAAAAATCTTCCATACAAATTGACCCGCCCTAATGTACCCACATACATGGCGATTTAAAATTCATTTCAGACTTTAAGGCGATTTATTTGCCATTTGGAAAAGCAAAGTAAAACGCTTATTATTTTTGAATACATTCGCTATCGATATTGCTCCTTTACTGTATGCGACAGATAATCAGCCTCATTGCGTAAGTCGTAAATTAGGCTGAATTGTACGACTCGACAACATTAGCATTGTCTACTGTCGTGCTGAAATAAGTAAACGACGAAAATTGTCGAAAACTATGCAGTGCTGCCAAGTTCTTCCGTTTTAATACACTAGTCGAGTGGAAATTTTAGGCAATGACGCTAAATTTTCGATACGATTCGACTCTCGAAAAACGACTTGCATTCGGCACGACTCTCGCAATGAGGCTGATTTTGGCTATTTCGGTTCGGTTCCGGTTCAATTGAGTCGCATCAAACCAAACGAGGCAAAATGCATACATACATACAAATATCTATCTTTGCATATATGTATATTTGAATGCATACATATTTGTTTGTACATACGTATATACATACATATATGTTATACAAAGGCATAGGCACCGTTAGAGGAGATATACATACGTAGATATGCAATAAATGTCAGTATATATAGTATATATTTGTAATCGAAAAAGTATTTTAAGTTTACATATGCACATCGATTGTATACCATTTTTCAATGCCGTCTATACATCTGTATGTGCTGTACTCACAATAGTGTGAAATTAAATTTTTGGTTGGTAAAAATGACCAAGTACAAATCGGTATGAAGGCCTCTGGGCCTTTTTGGTATATACATCATATACTTATGCATGTATGTAAAGGAAATTTATACAGGTTAGAAAGATTTTATAAATATTTTTTATTTCGCTTTTAAGAGTTATAACCCACCGTTTACTTTTTACGTTGCCTAGTAACTGTTATGCAGGAGAAATATGTTTTCCGTCACGAATAAGAGTTATTTCCACTGTTATTATCCGACGTTTATTTTTACGTTGTCTGATAACAGTTATTTCACTCCTCTTTTATTTTCATCATCTTTTCTTCTCCATCTCCGTTTTCGTCAATATTCTTATATTACAACGTTTATCAGACAACTTAAAAAAGCGTTGTAAAAAGAACGTTGGATAATGACTGTTATCAAGCCACGCAAAAAACAAACCTTGGGTTATAACTCTTATCGGCGAAATAAAAAATAGCTCTGATCCAATGCTTTTCGTGTAAAGTCCTGTAAAAATGTCAAACAGCAAAAATACTATCTGAAGTGAGAGTAAAAAGTGAGTAACAACAAAAACTACGGGAACAAAAAGAGCATTTTTCCTGTAAAAACGCCAACCAGTGATCGCTTGACACTTTTCATGATTTTACCAGAAGAAAAAGTTTGGGTAAAACCTTGCAACTTCATTCCCTACACAAGTCTCCAAAAATCGCTCTCATTTACAGAATTTTGGAGGAATTTGGAGTACGGGATCATTTTTCCTGTAACTTCCTGCAAGTTCGTGTAAAAACCTGTAAGTTCATGGAGTAATGGGTCAGAGCTAATATTTAATATTTATTCTAATAACTGTTATGAAACTAGGTTTTCATTAAATTTCAAAATTCGGGAAACGTTCTCAATTCGGAAAATTCGAGATAGCAGTTATTTTTGATCCCTATTTTATACATATCGTCGTTTAAAGTACAAAACCGCGTATCGTCATTCTGCAAAACTGCGTAAGTGGCAATAGCTGCCAAAAATTGGATTTGCACACACAAGCTCTGGGCTCAATCCGTATCCATTCGTCCTGAAATATACTGGCCAGGTATGCGATTACTTTATAAAAAAGAGAACAATTTTGAAATATGAGTGTTTTACTCTCTAGAAGATAATTTACATAATTCACATACGCGGTTTTGCATTTTGTTGATACACGGTTTTGTACTTTAAACGACGATATGTATCTGTAAAGCATGTTTAGGGCCAATTTCAAATGAATATTTAAACGGCACTTAAGTTTAATTGTGGATTATTGTTTAAATGCCATTTAACTTTCGTTGGGTTTCAGATCAACTTTGTTTGAATATGCCAAACAATTGGCAGCGCTGCTGCTTGTTCCTTGAAATTGTTGTTGCATTTGCTTGTTTGTTTACATTTTGCGCTGAACAGCTGATTGTTTTTTGGTGGGATTGATAAAACAACCTACCAATCAATCTTGGTTGTTTGGTACAAACACAGGGTTGCATATCTCATATTTAAATAGCCAATATTGGCCATTTAAGTGCAGATTAAATGTATGATCTGAAAATGAATAGTGGAAGTTAATCAACAGTCTCTACTTAAGTAGGCCATCTGAAATTGGGCCTTAATACTTTTGACTGTCAAGGAAAGTAGTCAAAGTGTATGTTGTTGTTGTAATAGCTATCCAATTACCCAGAGAATTTTTTGGGGAATAACGTTGGAATGTCCAGATATGAATCCGGGTCGTTTCGGTTATGTACACCCGACTGGGAACGAACTCAAATTACTCTAATGTTTTAGCAGAACTCAATCCATTGATTTCGACAGGTGATGTCCTCTGCATCCTCTGACACGCCAAGTCTAAAAGCGCTAGCAGTCAACGATGTAGAACGTTCAACGATGTCCTTAGAGTTTCCGGAGTTGAGCAAGTCCTTTCCACTTATGAGTTTGACCCAGATCAATGGTAGTAATTTATCGCAAGTGGCAGTGGTTTGCGCTGCGATATTCAGGGTAGTTATTAGCCGGTATTTTAGCGTCATAGGCGTACACGTCGAGTTCTAGTAAAATCTCCTTGGCCTTCGAGAAGAATAGTGCGGCGGTGGATTTTGGCTGTAAAGAAAGTTGAAAGATCAGTGATATGGCGAGTGTTTTTACCGCAAAGGCTCTTGTTGTTTGCTTCCGTTGTCATGATAAGTAAATCATCTGCATAGCTTACCAAGTTCACTACAGCTGGCGGCGGAGGGAGTTTGGTCATGTAACTTGGTTTCTGTATTACCCATCTTAAGGGATACTACGTGCCTTACACTTGCACAAATTTAAATGATGATTGGCCTCCACACAGATTGCTAGTTATCTACCTAATCGTCCCACTGGAAGTGATTAGCCCTGGATCTCCTGATAGAGGGTTGCATGGTGGGCATTGCTTTAGATCAGTGCCAGGCAGCCATTAGCCTCGTGAGGCTAAGTGCCCTAAGTGTGAGTTGTGTATGTGTGTATTTTGACTGGCACGGGTTTAGACCCTCGCTGATCTGTGTGGTGATGATGTATGGAGGTGTTTAGTTATGCTGGAGAGGTGATGTCTTTCCATTGTTTTTGCCACAGGGAAACATAAGGGAGATGGGTCTATACCATTCTCTTGCCATTCTCCGCCTTCTTTCCTGGCTTGAGAATGAGAATGATTTTCTGCTGTCATCAAATTGGTCAGTGACACGTCCTAGTTTTTTTCAGAATCTGCACGAATATTCCGCTCGGTCTTAACGCCTTATATGACAGCTGCATTTGCCTCTCTTGAGTACACTAAGTTCATGTGTCTCGTATGCGGAGCTTGTGTGCTTTACTTAGCATACAGCGGCAGAGTTTGTTCCCTTCAGATGTAAGATTAATCGCTGTCTGTAAGTAAGGCCGACATTGTCTTTTTGAGCTGTAAAGGTCACCCACGATCCTGGTAGGAGCATCTTTATTGATGGTGCGAAGCGTGGAGTCTCTTCGGAAAACTTTGTACTCGTTCTGACTCTGGGGGCTTGAATCGAAATGGAGTTTGGTTTCCTGAACTGCTGCGACTAAGATAACCCCCTCCGGGCTTTGTCACTTTTTTTGTCACTTATCTGCGAAAGTTGTTGTCATTCCAGCTTGTGCGTCCTCCGAACTTATAGCAAGCTACCACGAATTTAATAGTAAATTTAGGATACAGATTTTTTATTCCGACTCTCTATTGTATTATACTAAACGGTTACTTCAAAATAACAGATAAGGCATTATGCATTAAAAAAAAAACATAACAACAACGATTACCAAAATAATTTATTCCAACAGGCGACTGAATGCATACTGCATTTCATCATTCAATCTTTTATAATCACTCTTGATTCTTCGTTCTCCCTCTTTTTGTGGGTCCTAATAAGGAAGGAAAATACATCGCCCATTATATCCCTTTTACTTTTATGCAATTCCTACTCACCTTAAATTTCATCGATGACAACTCGTACAGTATATTTCCCATTTCTTGGCGTATCTCATTCCATGTAACACGATTCTCTTCTGTTGTTGTTGATTCGATAGCATTGCGTGATAGGTCGTAGAAAGTCATTATATTCTTTAGCATGCCCACAGTCTTGTAGAAAGGACAATAATGATCATACGACGAATAGGAATTTTGTTGCATAAAATCGTCTTTAAGCAGCTTTGCCACCTCTAGCGTCAATTTATCCGTTTCGGCTAGTGACGCTTTTCCTACTAGCTGCACGATTTCTGAGAGATCCTCTTCTTCTTGCAGTATTTCCCGTACTTTTATGCGCAGAGCAACAAATTCTGGGAAATTTTCCTCGTAATATTCGTCCAGTGCGCGCATATACTTTGAATAGGAAATCAACCAATTGACAGACGGAAAATGTTTACGTTGCGCTAACTTCTTATCTAAGCCCCAAAACACTTGCACAATACTGAGTGTGGCTGAGGTGACAGGATCGGAGAAATCACCACCAGGCGGCGATACAGCACCGACAATAGAAACGGAACCTTCACGCTCGGGATTACCCAAAGTTTTTACGCGACCAGCACGCTCATAAAAGGAGGCCAGTCGTGCACCCAAGTAGGCTGGGTAGCCAGAATCGGCAGGCATTTCAGCCAAACGACCTGAAATTTCACGAAGAGCCTCAGCCCAACGGGAGGTAGAATCAGCCATCATAGATACGTTGTAACCCATATCACGGAAGTATTCAGAGAGTGTGATACCAGTGTAAATAGAAGCTTCACGAGCAGCGACAGGCATGTTGGAGGTGTTAGCTACCAAAGCGGTACGTTTCATGATAGACTCGGTGACACCATCAATTTCAACAGACAATGCGGGGAAATCACGCAATACTTCAGCCATCTCGTTACCGCGCTCACCACAGCCGACATAAATAATGACATCAGAGTTGGAGTATTTGGATAAAGCCTGGAAAGGCGAAGGGGGTTTACTCTAACTCTGCTTAAATAAAAAAGTTTCTGAGAACACAAGGGTTTTCAGAATTGAAAAACTTAGACATATTTCTAAGGTTGCTGCACTTTACGGAATTCTCTGAATAAATACATTTTTGTTTAATATCAATATTAGTTGGGTTCCAGATACTTCACGATTTGCCGGTTTTTACAGGAAGCCGTTCCAGGTGTAATGGAGAAAACAGTTGTTCCTGCAAACCATGTAACTATTACCTGTCATGCTTCAGGAAGCCTTTACGGTGGTTTATCCGATTTTGGTACAAATTTTTAGAGGTCGCCTAAAACTGAACCACGTCCAGCTTAGCTAAAGCGAGAAAACGTGATCGCAACAATGTTACACAAGGCGTTTCAAATGCTTTAGTTCTGCATATTATGAACAAGGGGTCCAATCGATCGTACTCTCAACATGTCTACCTAAAAGGAAAACCAACGAATACTCGTCCTTCATGAAGTGGTTCGCACGAATGGGAACTCGCACTACCTCATACAGTTAACTATCCTTTATAAATATTGAGGACGCCTTTAATAATGTCAGTGTAGATTCTATACATGGGGCGCTTACAGAAGCATCGGTCGTGGATCGCTTCTCCGTTAAGGAGCAAAGTAACCCATGAAGAATTAGGTTCTCACTGCCAGTCCGTATATGCGGTGAGGACTACTTTCTCCACTACTGTGTATATATGACTCGTGGTTTTAAGCAAACTAACACCTAAACCTAAACTCCCCGAAAATCAACGTGGTGGCTTATGCCGACGATGTAACCATACTTGCATCGGGCCAATTTACTTCGGTTATAAGCGAAATTATGGAGTATACTCTAAAGAAAGTCGATTCTTGTGCTCTATTCGGCCATTGTGAATTCGAAGAAAAATAGCCTGAAGCTAGTTATGTACAAATAAGAAAAAATTGCCCAATTACACGCAACCTAAATTCAAGTGGACAGCGCTGGATCTTCCACAAAGTTGTACATATCTTAGATTTTGTCTTTATTCCAACTTTAGTTGGAGGCTCAGCACTGAGGAGCAAGCAAGCATAGGTAATAGTTGGGGGATTGAAGCCAATGTTTGTGCACTAGATCTACAAGCCAATAGTCTGAGCTAGGGACCGAAAATAACAGTTATTTTTTTTTAAGTCACCTTTATGTTTGAAATAAAAGTCATTTCCTGGCAATAAACAAACCGCTTATCCAAATTAAACAATTTTGGTATCAAATGAAAGAGGACGAAAATAGCTTTTAAAAAGAAATAACGAACGAAGGTTACCACCTCTAATTTCTTAAAATTTAATACAAAAGAAATTCACATATCCTACACAAGGTTGTCGCGGCTTTCCTCGTTTACACATTTCGGTTATTTTTGCCCTCTTTCATTTTATACCGAATTTGTTTAATTTGGATAAGCGGTTTGTTTATTATTCGGAAAAGACTTTTATTTCAAACTTAAAAAATATTTGGCCTAGGTGACTTAAAAAAAAATAATGTTAGTTTCGGTCCCATAGCCATACTTTCTTATGAAGTATGGTGGCCAACTCTAACTACTTAATTATCACATTCTTAAAAGAACTTACCGCAATTCAGAGGTATGCTGCTGTTAGTGCGACTGGTGAAAAGAGATCCCCTCGAATATCATAGGGTTATAGAAGTTTGGTTCAATATGCAGAAACTTTTTTTTTTTTGTAAACTTCAGTTTTATTTTTTCACTTAAAAGCTATAACAGCGTGATTTCGTATCCTTTTCAGAGGTGGCGACACCGTAATAAAAGGATTAAGTCCCATAATGTTCAGGTCAATTCAGTAGATTGCGTCTGTACGTCCTTTTCGATTTTATGAATAATCATTATTTTTAAGTGGAAAAACAAAACACAATAATAATTTGTATCTTGAGCGAAAAAATAAAAATCACAACATAATCAGTATTTGTGAACAATAAATAATAATAATTTCCGTTGAACGAAAAATAAAAATTCAATTATAATTATTATTCTTAAATGAAAAAAGAATAAAAATCATTAAATAATGATAAAATGCTGATTTCAATTATTTTATTCAAAACGATTACCATCCCTGTTTTATTGTAATTTTTGGTCATGACTTTATAATAACTTGTAAATTTTCACTGTAAGAAAACTATGTGAAATAACGCCGTTTTATCAGGTTTTTTCTTAATTTTTTTTCAAAGTGCAATTTTTTCGATTAACTCGAAAACCGGTTTTTAAAAAAAGACGAGTGATCGAACAATCTCGTAAATACATACTTTTATGTTTACAAGATTTTCGAATTAAACGAAGCCTTGCCAAGCAGCGAGTTTGCCTTTGCCCTGAGATAATTTACCTTTATATAGCTAAAACAATTACCTGTGATATAACGGTTTTTCCACAACCAAACGCTCCCGGAATGGCAGTTGTTCCACCCAAGGCACAGGGAAAAAGTGAATCCAACACACGTTGTCCGGTCAGCAATGGATGATTGCAAGGCAGCTTTTCTATAACAGGCCGTGGTTGACGTACCGGCCAAACTTGCAACATGCTGTGCTTAGTCACAACACCATCAAACTCAGTCTCGAGTACAATATCATCCACTGTGTACTGGCCGGCGGGCGCTATATACTTCACAGTACCTCTTGCACGTGGATTCAATAGTATCTTATGATTTACTAAGGTGTTCTCTTGTACTGTGCCATAAATATCACCGCCTGTTAAATGTGATCCTGCGACAATCTTTTTTGCTGGCTCAAACTGCCAGGATATATCACGCGATAAACTTTTAACATTTACACCCTTAGGAATGTAAATAGATTTGGTGAGTTCGTTTATGCTTCGCAGCGGGCGTTGTATGCCGTCAAAGATGCTGCCCATTATACCGGGTCCCAATTCCACCGAGAGCGGTTTACCCGTTTTTAGCACAGGATCACCCACTGTAATACCCGAAGTTTCTTCATACACCTGTATTGTAGCCATTTCACCTTCAAGCCGTATAATTTCACCCACTAGTTCGAAGTAACCGACACGTACCAATTCGTACATGGCTGAACCGGACATATTCTCAGCGGTAACGACTAAGGAAAGGTGAGCAAAAACACGGGGGGAGATACTCCATTGTTCATACATATGTACATATATTTTAAGCGATAAATGAACATTTACCAGGTCCCGAAACTCCAAATACGCGTCCATAACTGGTTTCATCTACTTCGATACGCCTCGTATCCTCCTCGCTTGGTGTCTTTTTTGGAGTTTCTTCACATATACATTCGGGAGGAGGTGCTACGCATCTACACTGGTTTTCAACGGGTATTGATCCATAACAAGTGCACCACTCTGACGACATAGCGAAAAAATTGATATTCTTAATAATTTATTTAAATTTTTTTCTTATTTGCGCCAACGATTTTATGTTTTAATTTTTTGATTTTTATGAAAAAAGGAATATCATTTTCGTAATTTGAATTTTATGGCAGTTGTGGATATGATTTTATATTATTAAATTTCGTCGAAATCCTGTGTCCAGATACACATTTATAAGGCGTTTAGATTAGAGCTCTAGATACCCGGGTATCGAGCAATGCGAGTAGCTCGATACTCGCTCGAAACTCGTTCATTGCTCAACTGCTCAAATGTTTGTTCAAAATTTTCGAGTTTTTGAACAATTTCATAAGCAAAAGAAAATTTGTAAATTGTATTTGTCAGCAGCTGCTTTCTATTTCATGTTAAATAAATTATATTATTAAATACCAATGTAACAATCTTTGCATTATATATCAATAATTTGAAAAATTTAAAAAGTTGCTACCAAAAATGTCAATATAATCAAAAAAAACTTTGCTGAAATTACTCGAAAAAACTCGAATTGCTCGAGCTCATGCTCGAAAATTTTCGAGTAATGAGCATTGAACAAGTGTGCGAGTACTCGCTGCTCATATACCCGGGCTGTTTGAAAATGTGCGAACAAAATCGAGAGCTCTAGTTTAGATACGTGACAATCAAGGTTTAGATACATCACTCAAAATATAAAAAATAATTTAAAAAAGGATTTTCTCTATCTACTCAACAAATTTGTGTTGTGTGTCTTGTTGTTGTTGCACAAAAATTGTACGCCACTTTCGAATAGCAGATGATATTTTATAAGAAGGAAGCGGCATGAGGAGTTGCTTTATACGAAGAACAAAGGTTTGTTTTGTATATCAAGTTCGAGTGCGGATAAGAAGATGTTTTTGAAGTAGCTGCAGCTTGCCGTGGACATCACATCGCTGACCCACCGTGTACCGTATATACCATCCAACTCGCCTAGGAAGTTGCTCAACTTCAATCAGGTTCCTGATGGAGTGTGTTTTATGGTGGCAAACAAGCCAAAATTGCTTGCTAAGAACAAATATGTGTTCTGTTCTAAGGAACTTTAAAGAAATCGCTGTTTTGGTGGTATTGAAGTGCCCGCAGAGAGCATCCTGTAGTATTCCGGAGGTTAACAATCGACGCGATTGGTATATTTTTGTGGTGAGTAAGACATTGTAGATAAGGCATAAGCGTTTTTCATAATCTTTTTTTTACTTACGCTGACGACACACAATCAGTTTTGCCTTTCAATTTCCTCACACTCATTGCTTGTCAAAAATCATCAAAATTAAAAGTCATTACGTAGGCTGCATTCAATTTGAGAAGCAATTTCATTATCAACATGTCGTCTTCAAGAAAACAATGTAACTAACTAGCTACTGAAGACCCATTTTCCATTTTTAACTCCATTGTAGATTAACATTTTAGCATCCAGAAGCTTAGTATTTTTTTATTTTCAAATAATTGAAAACAAAATTGAAACTCAATTGAAAGGGAAAAATTGAAAGCAAGTTGCCCAGTCCTCAGAGACTATATAACTTACAGTCTAAACTCAAAACTGGCGAAACTTTTTGTTGGGAGGTGGTAGTTTACTGGTATGTACTAACAGCCAAGCTACCTTAAGTCCTTGGCTAACTCTCTCACTACTTTCAAACTGATTCGGTAATATAAGAACTTGCCTTAGGCTGAGTGACACGTCCGGCGAGAGTACCTCGTTAAGGTTGAGATGTAGATGATTTTTTGCACGCTCCACTTTCTATATATTGCCTCAGACATAATGCAATTAGAGCTGTAGCAAACCGTATGAATGCGTTACTGAGTAACGGGTACAACCCCTGGACTCGAAGTACCGAATCGTTACTCACATAATAATCTTGTTACTCGCATGTTGCGTATATGCACCATTAACATGAATCAATACAACACAACATATTGTACGGGAACGAAACTGTTGTTCGTATCGGTTGCGTGTGTATGTACGAACATACGTGCACATGTACGAATGAACATTTTCTTACGCTGCAAGATTCGTTGCGATGATTCGTGTGAGGTACAAGTGCTTGTATCAAAAGTAACGAGTAAAGTAACTATATGAAATATACGGGTGTCGATTGGATTAGAAACGAATACATACGGGTATGCAAATTTTCGTTACTTTTACAGCTCTGAGGGCTCAATGGGCGCAAATGAAATGCGCAGTCCTTCCACTTCTTCTATAACCCACATTGTAGCGCGTCTTTCATGAATTCCATGCGTAGAAAAGGCAGGTCAAAAAGCATCTAAAGAAACGCGGTTGGTGTCGTTCTCATCCACCTAAATATGATGCCCACGTAAGCTCGTCGTTGTAGTTTGCTGAGCTTATGTTAGGATAATTAGTTTGAGTATTTTTTCGACAATTACTATTTTTCACCAAATTCGAACTTAAAATGGAATTCAATACTCTTCATACTTGAGTTAACCCAATTCGAAACCGTCTCCAATTGCTTTTCATTGGGACATCTCCCTTCCATTCGCATCAACCGTGTCTCTTCACACCGAAGTTTCTCATGAAATAATGCCGCAAACCTCGTGGGCGATTTCAAGTGCCCTTGAGCATAATGGAAACCCATCCAATGCTGGATCGGCGCCGTTACGCTGGATTGACAGCAGAGTTGATTGAGAAGGAATTTAATTTGCATTTACGTAATGTATGTAAAGGGATTTTTAAGCATTGCTTTGGCAGTTGAAAATTGACAGGTTGCCTGGACGGAGGCCATGTGAATCGAAAGGGTGAACGGCGACACATGCTGGTGCCCTTTTTCTTTGATTTTGTTGTTGATTAACTGCGGACCACTAGCAAGTGGGGTTCACTTGAAGTACACTCATTTAACATTAATTTTTTTGTTCGCAACAAAAAACGTAGGCCACTTAAAATATGAGCTGCGAATACAAAAAAGTAGCAAAGAGAAATTAATGAAAACACCAAAGTTTAATGAAAAAGTGGATCGCCTGCTGGTAAAAGCATAAACATCTCTTTATTACAACCACAAAGCAGCCAGACCAACAGTTACCACTTTCAGCCACCAACGGACTGCAGGCAGTTCAGCTCTCCTTGCCGCAGGTTTCCATGCTAGCCAGTATGTACTATGTTTGCTAGGTTGCCCGGTTGCCCGGTTTCTCGGTTGGTTGACTGCGTGACTGATGCGAGGGTCAATGCTGTTGCATACCACGCACTGTGCCCCATGCAACAGCAGTGTTGAAGGACATTAAAGGCGACGACGATGGACATTTTTTTATAAGCTTTTATTTTTTTAATATGTATGTGGGTAGTAACAGCCCAACGTCAACGCCAACGCACACATTGAGTTGAAAATTTCCTGCACTGGCGCGCGGCCGTCTCGATGCATGCAACAAAATTACTTAATTTCTCTGTTGCGTATAGCCATCAACATGCCACACGCGCCAGCATTGGCAAAAAGCAGGACACATTCTAGATGTGCGGTTGCAACATTTTTGCACACCGCATACTGGTTGGCGATATACGAGTAAGTATGTAACATACGATGACGTGTTGAAGGGAGGAAGTGTGCAAATATTCAACGTTAATGTGCCTGTAATATTAGGGTAGTCCAAAAGTGCATGTGAAAAAGTAAAGTCAGAATTTTTATGCTCTCACGCCCTAGGATTTTCTATACCGAAAAAAAGTATTCCTCTATTTTTTTTATTTTGAAATCAAAAAATATTTAGAGGTCGCCCAAAGCGCTCAAAGTTTTCCATGTATTTTTATATGGGGGAAAAACAGCCTTTCGTAGAAATCGTATAGAATTCTTAAAAATCAATATTTTTTGATCAAAACCCTCTGTTCTTTACAGGAGATTCTCAATAATAATACCTAATTGTTTATTTAATCATTTTTTCATCGCAACTATATTTTATAGGTCCACCAAAAACCCACAAAAACCCCGAAAAATGCAATGGAGGGACCAATAGAAAATCGTTTGTATTAAAAAATTGTTAAATAAACAATTAGGTATTGTTATTGAAAGTCTTCTGAAGAAAACCAGAGCTTTTCGATCGAAAAATATTGATATTCAAAAATTCAATACCATTTCTAGGAAAAGTAGTTCTTCCCCATATAAAAATACATGGAAAACTTTGAGCGCTTTGAGCGACCTCTAAATATTTTTTGATTCCAAAATAATAAAAATAGAGGTCAACTTTTTTCGATATAGAACAATCCTAGGGGGTGCGAACATTACAATTCCGACGTTACTGTTTTTGGACCACCCTACTGCACATATACAGTGCGTATGCAATATATGTAAGTTTGTGATACTTATGTATATAACACATCTCTGACGCAACGAAATGCGACGTGTGATTAATGAAACATGTGTTGTTACCAAGTATAGCGCAATATCTGTGTCAACTACGCAGCTACGTCAGAAGTTAATTTTCAGCGTCTTGCCTTTTTTAAAATATGTGTGAGTGCGTGAATGCGTTTTATTGCATAGCATTTAAAATTCGTATGAACACTTTAAGCTGCTATATAAAGTTCTTTAAACAAAATATCGCTCCCCAGCTCGCCATTAGTGTCATCGTGTTGATATAAACGCCCTACAGTATTTTTACTTTTTAGTACCTACGATATTCTTTTTTCTTCCATTAGTGCGCTGTTGATTTCTATTTTAAAATATGCAACGTTAAGCTGGTAACACGTGTGACCTCAATTTTTCACAGTTACTCAACAAATTATAAACATAGCGACGATATATTTAGTAAAATTGCTGGCAGTTGGGGGAGGAATATGTGCACTTATGTAATACTTCCACAAGCACTAAACTGTAAAGTGCGGGAAATGCAAATTTAGGAACTTAGAACTTTTTTCATTAAAATATAAGCCAATCCATGTCAAATTGATCAATGCGCCATGGGCCAGCGCTAATAAAAAGTAGCGAAATATGAAGCCTTTGATCGATTTTAATGTGACTTCCAATGTGAGATCCAATATGACAGATTACTT